AAACCCATGTTCACCAATCACACCTTTAATTGACTGGACTTTATTCCTTCGTTTTCTCAATTGCATTCGCACTAAAGTCGTCTTCGAATATCAAACGACAACAATCAAGCTCCATACCTCGCGAAACAAAATTTAATTGTTACGTTTTCAAACGAGATTTTGGCGAGAGACTAGGGTGTGAGTGTGGGCATGGTTGGGTCTGGATCTCAGCTTAGGTTATTCTTCCATTTAAAAACTCCGACCCAGATCTCGACCCACCCACATCCTACTCGTCAGTGCTCCTAATCAAGTCGTAGTCATGGTCACGGATTTTTACAAAAATTTTGGCCATGTTCACGTCCGACATCATTCTTCACACCTAAACAGGTTAGAAAAACTTAAAACGCTGCTCAAACCATGCAATTTCAATGCCTTTAAAGTATTTTGTACACATACACCCAAAATTTATTTAAACAGCTGGTGTGCGTTTATGAAGAAAGCGCTAAATTAGTTATTTTAAGAATATGTTTGTTGTTAACACGACGATCGCGTTTTTCATTATAACAAGAACATATACTTTTCTCAGTGAATTAATCGCATCAAATATCATGTTCACATGGTTTTCATCCTCTTTTTGTAGCAATGGCATTTTGATTTGGGTGTGAGTGTGAGTTTGGAGTGTGGATGTCAGTTTTGTTGACGAGAAGATCCATACCCGTACCCACACCCACACCGACCACCACATACACTCCCGCACTCACCCACATACCTATACCCACATCCCACATCCACACCCGTACCCTCAAAACAGTAGAAAAGTTGTTATAGTTTATTGTCGCATAAGAAGAATAAGCTACTCAAAATAATAAGTTATTTTCAGAGATTCTCTAGACGAAATTTGTATTTGATCTTAGACAGTCAAATAACCAATCGGCTTATTTTATCTACAACGAAATGTCATGACATATGCTTAAAAACAATGAAAAAATTGTTACGGTATCATTTGTTGTTTGAGAGTAATGAAGAATTCAAAATAGGAAGTGGCTTTCCGAACACGCTGTGTATTCAATATGAGTAAAAAATTTTTGAAACGTAATGTATTCTAGGAGAGTATATTTTTAAGAAAAGATATTATTAATTCATGTTGAAAGAAATTCATTGATTTTTTCTGAATATACCTTTTTATTCATTACATTAGTGGATGCTTACAAGATATTCATTGAATTCAATGTACGATGATCGATAGTTAGTTTCTGTTAACTTTGGAT